ACACACACACACACACACACACACTCACACACACACACACACACACACACACAGGGATAATTTCATAATGTTACATTTCAAATTTGTGATCATTATACTGTATAAGAGTAGATTGGTGTGAATTGCAATTGATTTGCATAATGTATAGATGGACATGAGGACTGTAAATGAATCTGAGGCATATGTTTGTTAACATTTTTAGCAATGTAAAGTTTTTACCTAAAGTACTTTATTTAAAAGTTTCTAATATTTAATGTAACATATTATATTACATTCTATAATATGAAAAAAGTAACAATTCGACAGTAAAGCAATAATAATAATTATTATTTATTTAATTAATTATTATCTTTTGTATATATAGTAGGTACAGGTCAGATGTTTGGAATAATTAAGATTTATTTGATCAAAAATACAGCAAAAACAGTTATAGTGCAGTGCAGTGTAGCACAGTAAACAGTAGTTGTGAAATATTATAACATACAATATTTAAAAATAGCTGTTTTCTATTTGAATATATTTTAAAATGTAATTTATTCCTGTGATCAAAGCTGAATTTTCAGCATCATTACTCCAGTCTTCAGTGTCACATGATCCTTCAGAAATCAGTATAATATGTTGATTTGCTGCTCAAGAAACATTTACTGTATTATTATTATCAGTGTTGAAAACAGTAATAAATTAATACTTTTATTCAGCAGGAATACATTAAACTGATCAAAAGTGATGTAAAGTCATTTATGTTACAAAAAAATTCTATTGCAAGTAAATGCTTTTCATTGAACTTTCTGTTCATCAAAGAAAAACTCTTTTTATAAAATAATGTAGTATATAACAGTAATTTTCACTATAAATGATATGAATTTTTCACTGCAAATGATATGATCAGTCTAACAATGTTTCAGACTTTTGGACTTTTGTTGTTTTGTCTGTAAATAAACCCAGTAACGAAACAAAGGCCTCCCGGCCAAAATGTTTTTTCAGTGTTTTTTCTGTATGGCTTCATAATCCCGCAGCCTCCCAGTGGGCCAGTAGTGCGTGAGTGTTTGCATGCATGTGATCAGATCAGAGATCAGAGGTTGCATGAGTTCAACATCCACCCAGTTTAACCCTGTGCACGGCCTGTTCTCCTACATGCTAATCCCACGATGATTTCTCTCTCTCCCACTGTAGGGATGCATTCATTCTGGCTCTCATAAACAGCGGCACCAGCTTCTTTGCAGGATTTGTGGTTTTCTCCGTTTTGGGATTCATGGCGGCCGAACAAGGCGTTGACATCAGTAATGTGGCAGAAAGTGGTGAGATACGCATCTGTCCTCATCACACTCTCCGTTCCTTCATTCTCCTTGACTGCATGAAAAAAAAGTACCATACTACTACAGTATATTTTTGGACATGGTACTATAATAGTGCCATTCTATTCCTAAACACCTTGGAATACCATACCATGCCATGGTACATAAACATGTGGATCTTGTTTTTTTCTCAGGTCCTGGTTTAGCGTTTATTGCCTATCCAAAAGCAGTGTCGCTCATGCCTTTAGCACCGCTGTGGGCGGTGCTGTTCTTTCTCATGCTTCTGGTGTTGGGATTGGACAGTCAGGTGAGGCTCCACCCACTCATTTATGACAAAGATTTGAAAGGTCCTGCTGCTATTTTCAGTAAGTGAGTGATCAAACTGATTAAATTGTTACAATCCATTTTATACAAAATGTTTTGATAGAAAGTTATCTGAAAAACTCTGATAAGATATCATATTAAATGAAGAGTTCATTGTCTAAACTGTATCTCAAACTACTTCACACAGGGTGCATTCTTGGGCTCAAAAACAGCAAGGTGGAGCACATAGAAATCAAACAAAAGATTTCATTTTTTAAATTTATTTATTTTGAACTTCAGCAAAGCAGTGGAAAAGAAGTACACTTTAGCATACATTTAAATAGAGTACTTATGTAAATAATATACTTAAAAAGAATATTAAAAAAATTATATAAGGAGTGTTTTCAGACACCTGTTTGCATGTTAATTGCAATTAAATGAAAATATATTATAGAGTAAATTTATATTAAATGCAATTAGATTGCTTTTTTGACCCACTTAAGTAGGACTTGAGTACATCTTTATATCTAATTTCATAATTAATTCTATTGTCTTTGAAATATGGTTTTGCTGAATGTACTGACAATTATTTATAATAAACTAAAATATACTTATAAATAAAATATGTGACCCTGGACCACAAAACCAGTCAAAAGGGTCAATTTTTTTGAAATTGAGATTTATACATCATCTGAAAGCTTTGTTAGGATAGGACAATATTTGGTCGAGATACAACTATTTGAAAATCTGGAATCTGAGGGTGCAAAAAAAATCAAAATACCGAGATAATCGCCTTTAAAGTTGTCTAAATGAAGTCCTTAGCAATGCATATTACTAATCAAAAATTAAGTTTTTATATATTTACAGTAGGAAATTTACAAAATATCTTCACGGAACATGATCTTTACTTAATATCCTAATGATTTTTGGCAATAAAGACAATGTTTTTTTGGCTATTGCTACAAATATACCCAAGCGACTTAAGACTGGTTTTGTGGTCCAGGGTCACATATATATATATAAATATAAAATATACTATAAAATTTACTGTCTAAATTACTATTTAAATGTGTAAGTCTTTGTATTTTGAATTTTTTATTTAAATGAGTAATTATGCATTTATAATGATTAAGTTGCAATTTAGTACATTTAAAATATATTAAATTAATACTTAATGTAATATTAAGTGACACACTACAGTTAAAATTATAATCAAGTACTTTACATGTGCTTTAGTATGTACTACTTAGTACTTTTTTTAAAAGTGTACTTAAGTGTGTTAAAGGGTCATGAAACCCCAGACAGATTTTAGCAGGGGTGTTTGTGTTGCACATCATAGAAGACAATGTTAGCATCCGTTAATTTTAATTGTTGGAGAAAACAGGTTCGAGTTTTTTTGCACTATTTTTGTCTTCCGGGTTTAAAATCTACATCGTGTTGATGTCACCGTTTGTGACGTGGCAAAGGACTATATGCCGCGTCCAGACAAGTCGGAAGAGGAAACATCCGAGTTGAAATGTCCCACTTCCAACTTCAGTGAGTTACAGTCAATCACACGTCATGTTAACATATTTCTGTCAATTATAGCAAAAACAGAAGAAACAAAAATAACTAAATGCTGCCTTTCGTTTTGAAAACAGCTGATGAAAAGCTACAATTAAAGTATCATTTTATAAACTTTAATGTTTAATGTTTTTAAGTTTGACATAAGGTAGCTCTATATTATGCTTGTTGGATGCAGTGACGTCAAATGATGCGTCCTACTGAGGAGTTCACAGGTCAGGTATCCAACTTCAAGCAGTGTTCCAGATGTTATTTCCAAGTATGAGGTGGGAAAAAGTTTTCTGGAACACAGCAATATTACTTTGATGACGCGTCGGTGTCTCATACTTATTCATGAGACTGCGTATTCTTATCCAGTGAAAAGATGCTTCGCTTAAAGTGCCCCTATTATGGATTTTTGAAAGTTACCTTTCATGCAGTGTGTAACACAGCAGCTCTAAGTGAATGAAAACATCCTGCAACGTTTTAAATCTGAAAGTGCACCGTGTATAAAGTTTTTGTCTCTCAAAAGAAAGAGTCGACTCTGAATCATTGAAACGAGTCGTTTTTAAAACGAATTCCATGATAACCTCAACATGAAACATTAGCCTATTGCCGCCCACTTGTTGGTCTTTTAGCGTTGGTCTGAATGAAAATGCTAATTCATTCTTTGCCACTAGGTGCCGCTTTTGGAGC